GTAGCCTTGTAACTCAACACATCAAAATCCTTCAGGAGATCAGAAGTGAAGTTCCTCTGAGAAATTAGAACACCATCATGCCTGTACACGATTTCTAGGCCTAAAAAGTAGTGAAGTTTACCCAATTTTTTTATCTTGAACTGGTCATTCAGGAAGCATTTTAAGAAATTAATCTCAGTTGCATCAGTACCAGTCATGATTATATCATCCAAATATATGGAAACAAACACCAAGGAGCACCCCTTCCTTTTATATAACAATGAATAGTCACTATCTGAGTGTTGATACCTTCTTGAACAAAGACTATTTTCCAACATCTCATACCATTGCCTTCTGGCCTGTTTTAAGCCATACAAGGATTTTTTTCAATCTATGATGCTTATCGTGACCAACGACACTAACCTACGGTATGGGTGTATACGATCGTCGATAATATAGTAACCCAACCGAGGGTTAGGATCGTGTCCCAAGGGAGCGGTTTTGAGAATTAATAGTTGATTAAAATTTCATTCGAATTAGTCGTAGCTAAATACATTTGAGATAAAAGACATAGTAAATTGAAGGGGGTGACACGAAAGTGTCAAATATCAAATGAGGTTTTTGTAACAAGTGCTAAAACAGTAAAATAAACAAGAAAATCAAGTATGGGGAATGGTTCTTGGAATGTTACCACAATACAAGTTGAGATAAATCGTTAGGTACATGCTTTCAATAGGAAATTTGCAAGATAATAGTGACTAGGCTAAGCTTTAAATGGAAATAAGTTCCCTCTCGGCGAACTTACCACGTGTCAAATGCGTTCCTCTTGGACACCCATTTGCCGCATGAAGACCAGCCTACGCCTTACCCCACTCACTCTCTCGAGCTGAGTGTTAGGATATGGGACTAGGGCTCACCCTCTCGGGCTGAACCTCATGTCGACCCACTCCTTAGGCCATCAATCTAGTGGTTTTGATTCGCGACCTCCTTCTCGGGCAAGCTGAAAACACATGGGTGACTTTGTATTTGCAACTACAAACCCTTTAGATTAAACCACAACCACTAGGTGAAATCACAATTAACATACATCTAACCTATCAGCAAGCAACACCCAACAAAAATATCAACCCATATTTGCTAAATCACACCCCAAGAATGGGGGTTTTAGCCACACATCAAGAAGTAAGAAATTATACCTAACATGATAAAGAAATCAACTGGGTATAAGAAATTAAACCTTAAATTAAGCAAAGGGAAGTGAATAGAGAAAACCCACTTCCAACTTGGGGAAGCAGAACTCTTTTCTTCAAGTCTCCACAAAACCTTCTCCAAACTTGAGAGAAAAAAATATTAGCGAAAGTATATTGTAAAGTGAAAATAATAATAATAATTGTTCCACACTTCCTAACTCTTAAGACTACAACCCTAAATAGTATTTATAGTTTTCACAGATTGGGCTGCGGAGGATTGTTCGGCGACATTAGTTGAGAACGCCGATGAACTCAGTGATCCGCCCTTTGCTCAGCTCATCGCCTTCAGTGTCTTGCCTTTAGCATCCTTGCATTCTGGATCATTGGGCGGTACAGTACTGCTTCACGGAACTGATCGGCGAAACGCCGACTGCTCCTTTTCTCGCCTTTTGGTCCACTTCCTTCAAGACATCGCGTACTGGAACGAAGGGCGGCTTATGTCGTTTTGATGACTCGCCAAGTTAAACTCGGCGATCCGCAGGATTCCATTTCTTGTTCTTTTCAGCCTATTTGCTCCGTTTTGCGCCTAAGTGTCCATGCTTCCACTAAAACTTCAAATACCTAAAACTTCAGCATTTTAATCAGGTATTAAGGTAAAACAAGCATTCAAGGACACTATTTCCATTAAAACAAAACCCTAAATGAGTCCAATTTGTGGACTAATCAACACCCCCAACTTAAGTTTTTGCTTGTCCTCAAGAAAACTCATGTTCAGCCGTTCAAAAAGGGTGCCTCAAATAGTGTTACACAAGACTAAATCATGAATGCACACAACAATATTCAATTTACTTATGCAAGGATCAATTGTGTACTCAAAGATTCAAATTATGACACACCATCACCAAAGATTCTCATGCTCGCAATACTTGCTACTTGTGCAAGTTCAAGATCAACAAAAGTATCTAAATGTACTCGCACAAAGAATGATTCCATATTCACACACATACATGAGTCAATTTAAAATCAGGAATCAGATACAACGCTCACACTAAAAAAGAGGAACACAATGCATGTTTTCACCCTTAGTTTTTCCCTTATTTTCCAATTGGCTTTCGATCCAGCTTATTCAAGATCAAAAAGGTCTTTCTAAGGCTTGTAATGGGGCTGAGTGCAAAGGTATGATCATTTAGGCTTAGTGACTTTTTCCTCGTGAGATGTGATGTTCTCAAGACATCATCTTCCCTTCCTTCCTCAATTCTTCTTCTAGTGCTCATAAGTCATCATATTATTCGTTCTCCATGTATTGCTTGGAAACCCAGTTTCTTTTACACTTTTATTCTCTTTCTTTTTCTTTTTTTTTATATGGAGGGTTTCCATTTTGTGTTGCAATACAATAGGTGTAGGAGGCTTTCTTGCACTTCTTGACTTTTCTTTTTCCTTTTCACCACACCCCTAACTTAGACTTTTGGCCTAAGTTGACTATTCACTAAACACATCTGATGGTGGATGAAAAAATCTAGGGTTTATCAAGGTTCTTCCAAAGAAAGGTAAGGTGTATTCAAAAGAGTTTCACACGCTCACATGTAGGTCACAAAAACAAGTATATGTCAAATTGGCTCACACTCTTTAAAATTGCCTATGATCATCTCAAGAGTACACCTTTCTAAATCAATCACACTAATGGGGAAAATTCTAGGTTTATTCATTCATGGTTCAAAGTAAGCTAATCACACAAGGAATCGATACTTCAATCAAACAAGACTAGACACACTCGCTAGTGTGCAACGGTCATCATAAGATAATCAATTTGATAAATGGCTAATCACAACGAGATGCAAAGAGTTTACATATTGTCTATGCAATTTCATTTGGCCTCATCGTAGCCGTACATTCATGTTTATTCAATTGGGAGCACTATTAAAGTCATCAGTATTGATCGAAACCGAGACTCAAATTGTTTTTGCAAAAGAACAACCACTTTGCAAAAAGAATTCGAAAGAGATCAAAATTATTTTGCAAGTGAAACAACAGGAGCCATGAGCTCAAACATCCACAAAAAAGCAGTAATTTAAAATAATAATTAAAAACAGACAACCCAAATATCCAAATAACACACAAAGGTGGGCCTCACCCTACCACAAATAAAAGCATTTGTCTCAAATGGAAATAACAACGAATCTGAAAGGTAGAGTAACGAAAGACAAAGAGGGAGATAAAGAGGTGATCCTGGCTGGGCGCATCTATCTGGGTTTCAAAGCTGAGGGTAACCTTCAGAAGGACCCGCACCACTGAATCCCGCAGCCGGAGCTTTGGCCAAGGAAGCCTGCACATTAGCATCTATCATGATTTCTTTAGTCTCTGCTATGTCGTTTGATGTAGCTCCCTCGAACATCTCTTCATCAGTCTCTGCTTTCGCTCCCAAATTTTCTGTCTTTTTCAATTTATCCCCATATCCAGTAGTAATCTGAGGCCTCTCAAGCATGGCTAGAATTTCCATTGTCCCAAAGACCATGGACACATCAATGGCCTTCAAGTGATTCACATCTTCTCACAGCTCAACAATGACAGCTTTTAAAAATCTTATCTCAATAATGGACCCTTGCTTGTGCTCACACACAGTTATCCTGGCTGGTAAGGCTTCGATGGTAGTGTTCAGGGGTGTCACAACATCAGTTAGGGTCGTCTGGATCATGCTTGGAACAACTGCTTCTAAACAAACGACCCAACGATCAGCAGAAAGGGCCATTTATCCCATCCAAAGTAGGGAAGCATGGGTGAGTGGGGACCTGGAAATAGCAACAGAGGAACCTGAAGTGCCAGTGGAAGTAGCAGTGGTAATGGATATACCTGAAGGTCCAAGAGTTGGAGTGAGCAAAAGCGCTTCTGTAGGTATAGATCTAGTGGTCGCCACTTCAATCTGCTTCTTTTCATCTTGATCCTTAAGATATTTGGCTTCGATCTTTCGGATATTGGTCGAGGTTGTGGGCATCACTTCTACATCCTTCTCGACATCCAGAGGTACTCGGTTATTTCTGCACAATGCGATAATTAATATCGAAAAAGGTAGAGATGTCTGGCTTTGCTTGGTGCGCATATAGATTTCAGACGCAATAATTGTTCCCAGATTTATCCTTGTTTTCTCTATGATGCACCCAAGACATGTTGCTTTAGTGAGGAGAAGAATTGATTCATTCTGTGATGGCATAATAGAGTTGCTGATAAATTTGAACCAGTATCTTGCAGCTACGTTCAGATCTTTCTTTTCGATTGGGATTCCTTCTGCTAGCCAATTAGAAGCATTATTATCTGAGATTAGCGGGACCAACCACTATTTCATCGCATCCAGCTGCTTCGTTCTGATCAAGTGCTGACAGTTATCATTAATCTTAGTGGACACACCCAAGGCTATATTGATAGCCTCACTGTCACAAGCTACTTTCCTTCCTCTGACAACTACATAGTTAATTGCTTTGAAAGACGCAACTAGTGTCTTCCGCTGAGGTACCAATGCACTGTATGCACTATGAAACTCTCTGACCCAGTATGGCATATAAGAACCACGTGATTTTGTGAAAACTTGAAATTTGTGATATTTTAGGCACTCCATTATCTCAGGATACCTATCAATCAGCCCATCTATAGACATTCGTTTTTCTTCAATGATTGTTCTTAGTCCATCAGACTTAAATCTATTCAATGATCTAGGCGAGGGGATTGTACTGGAGGTGCCAGTATTATTGCTTGTTCTGGAGCTAGAGGAGTCTGAGCAGTGGATCAAGGATTTCTGATCCATGATGGGTCATTAAGCTGTTTGGATCGTAGCTCATTCCTCTATGCCTCTATCAGTTCGTCTTCATCTGAACTCATACTCTCACTATCATATGTTGTTGGGTCATTGGTGTAAAAACCCATGCTATCAGAACTTGCATCTGATAGCTCAACTATTTTGTCCTTGCCTTTGCCTCTTTTGCTCGCACTGAAAGGTTTCGCAACATTGCTTTTGGATGCAGCTGCATCATCGTTGATTGTTATCCCTTTTTTCTTTCTTTGAGTTGGCTTGTTGCTTCTTGTAACTTTGGGTCTGGCCATATCTGCAGTCAATAAGGAGTAAGTTGGAAATAAGTAAATCAGTGGTGCAAACCTTTAGTGGCAGACAGATGCGCTGACTTTGTCGGCGAATCGCCAAATATCTTTGGCGAGTCAGGTCGAGCTCGCCTCCGATTTTTCCCTAATAGCTTTCACTAGTCGGTGATGAGAAAGTGCGAGTCGCCGAGTACTATTAGCGATTAAAGGTTCGGTCGCTGAAAGTTACAGTGCAATAAAGATTCCGGAATGCAGACAGAGGGCGATCGAAGTCACTTTAGGCGAGCTGCCTAGTTGTTTGACGAACCATACCCAGTTCGCTAAACAACCTAACGTGCCTTCCTTCAATTCAAATTCGACCTAGCAATTCCCAAAATACAATTTAACAGTTGCAAAAGTGAAATTAAATTAAGACCCATGACATTCATTCACCCAAAGCTCAAATCATTTCACGCACAGGCAAATAGGGATTTCAAAAATCGAGATCAAGTGGGCATGATTCTCAGATCGAATCTGGCATTTAGACGCTTATCAGAGAGAGGCCTAGCACATGTCAACCCAACCAATTTTAAATTAATAAGAGAACAAACTTTTAGTAGTTTCGGGAGTTGGGAGAAACCAACCTTTTATGCTGCTTGAACTGTGTTGAAATGCTAGGAAGCAATGTAATCCCATGCTTTAGCACTAATCGACAACTAAAATACCAAGAGTGTAGAGATAATAAAAATCACTTACTAGGTGCGGTTTTTTTTCGACAGGGGAAATTTAGTGGAAAATGAACATATTTCCATTTCTTTGAGACTATTGGTCTTTAAAAACTATCCAGTTGTTGCTCATTCGGCGATATTAGTTTGTACCGCTGAATGATTCAGCGTTTCGCCAAGAGATTTGCCTTCGCCGTCGATTGTTACAGACTGTAGCTTGGATCTTGAGTTTGCCATCAATCTAAATCGAAATCGCCGAAAAGTTCGGCTACTTCGCCGAATGGGACTATCAATTACCAATCCACATTTTTCATTCATTCTCCACGTTTTTCTCTTGCAAAATTAATACACCATTATTTCTAGAATAAAACTAAAGCTCGTATAGGTTTTAGGTTGCCTCCCAAACAATGCCTTAGTTAACGTCGTGGCACGACGCAGGTAGATGCTCAAATCGGTTTTTTGGTGTTACACATAGTGTAGCTAGGTGATCCCACTTGCTTATACAGATGAAGCTGAGGTAGTGCAAGATTCAAGAGAGTTTTGATTAGCTGTATAGACCTAGAATGAGAGCCACTCATCTGATTCAACATTTCGACATTTTCTCTAATTTCCTCTAGTACTTTGTCTTGCTCATTCAGCTTTTGGAGGATGGTTAACAACGTATCGTTGATACGTCTGTTTTCAATGTCTATGCATCTTCCTTGATCCGTAGATGATGGATGTTTGCTCTTTCCTTTGGACATCAACTCCAGTTCTTCGACCTTTTGGGTCAAACAAAATGGTCAATTGATGGTCCTTCTCTCCATCCTTGTTGGTTTTAGCTTTAGGGTCAAGGAATTTGGTTGCAGTCTCATAGGGGTATTTCGTCCACTTGGCATGAGTTGGTTCATTATTTCTCTGTTTTCGAAACTTAGACCCCTGTAGAAGCATTCCAGTAGGATTAAATCGGGCATTTCATGAGTTGGGCAGTGTATCAATAGTGTTTTAAACCCCAGCCATGACTCATGAAAGGGTTCTCCTTCGAGATGCTTGAAATTTAGGATGTGATCCCTGAGCCTCATCACCTCTGCTGAAATAGGCTCTATTGGTCCACATTCTCCATCATGTATACTCATTGTCCTGCCTCAACACGCAACCAACTAAACAAAACTAAAAATTAGGTGAGTAAACTACTACTAACAAGAACAACAATTCTATTAGACTATAAATTTTCAAATAACACTACTCCCCGATTGATGCTTATCGTGACCAACGACACTAACCTACGGTATGAGTGTCTACGATCGTCGATAATATAGTAACTCAACCGAGGGTTGGGGTCGTGTCCTAAGGGAGCGGTTTTGAGAATTAATAGCCAATTAGAATTTCATTCGAATTAGTCGTAGCTAAATACATTTGCAATAAAAGACATAGTAAATTAAAGGGGGGGACACATAGTGTCAAATATCAAATAGGGTTTTTGTAACAAATGCTAAAACGGCAAAATAAACAAGAAAATCAAGTATGGGGAAAGGTTATTGGAATGTGACCGCAATACAAGTTGAGATAAATCGTTGGGTACATGCTTTCAATAGAAAATTTGCAAGATAATAGTGACTAGGCTAAGCTTTAAATGGAAATAAGTTCCCTCTCGGGCAACTTACCCCGTTTCAAATGCGTTCCTCTCGGACACCCATTTGCCGCATGAAGACCAGCCTACGCCTTACCCCACTCACTCTTTCGAGCTGAGTGTTAGGATATGGGACTAGGGCTCACCCTCTCGGGCCGAACCTCATGTCGACCCACTTCTTAGGCCACCAGTCTACTGGTTTTGGTTTCGCGACCTCCCTCTAAGGCAAGCCGAAAACACATGGGTGGCTTTGTATTTGCAACTACAAACCGTTTAGATTAAACCACAACCACTAGGTGAAATCACAATTAACATACATCTAACCTATCAGCAAGCAACACCCAACAAGAATATCAACCCATATTTGCTAAATCACACCCCAAGAATGGGGGTTTTTAGCCACACATCAAGAAGTAAGAAATTATACCTAACATGATAAAGAAATCAACTGGGTATAAGAAATTAAACCTTAAATTAAGCAAAGGGAAGTGAATAGAGAAGACCCACTTCCAACTTGGGGAAGAAGAACTTCTTTCTTCAAGTCTCCACAAAACCCTCTCCAAACTTGAGAGAAAAAAATATTAGCTAAAGTAATAATCTAAAGTGAAAATAATAATAATAATTGTTCCACACTTCCAAACTCTTAAGACTACAACTCTAAATAGTATTTATAGTTTTCACAGATTGTGCTGCGGAGGATTGTTCGGCGACATTAGTCAAGATCGCTGATGAACTCAGCGATCTGCCCTTTGGTCAGCTCATCGCATTCAGTGTCTTGCCTTTAGCATCCTTGCATTCTGGATCATTGGGCGGTACAGTACTGCTTCGTAGAACTGATCGGCGACCCGCCGACTGCTCCTTTCTTCGTCTTTTGATCCATTTCCTTCAAGGCTTCGCGTACTGGAACGAAGGGCGGCTTATGTCATTTCGGTGACTCGCCAAGTTAAACTCGGCGATCCATAGGATTCCATTTCTTGTTCTTTTCAGCCCTATTTGCTCCGTTTTGTGCCTAAGTGTCCATGCTTCCACTAAAACTTCAAATACCTGAAACTTCAGCATTTTAATCAGGTATTGAGGTAAAACAAGCATTCAAGGACACTATTTCCATTAAAACAAAGCCCTAAATGAGTCCAATTTGTGGACTCATCAGTCTGCACACCATGTAATCACAACCTGTTGCAAGGCCTTATGGAGGTACCATGTATACTTCCTGATGTAAATCATCATGTAAGTGTAACACCCCAGAAAATTTTTTGAACTAAGACTTGAACCATCCTTCGTTGTGAGTAGAATTTTACCGAGGAATTAAAATTTCTTAAGTGTTAAGTTCACTAGATGTAGAACCTTGAGTTCGAAAGAGAACTAAATTGGAAATAGCAAAATCTGAAATTTTGCAAGTTATGCTTAAGTATGAGTTTTGGGTCGACTTCAAACGACCATAACTCTTAGTTCATAATGATTTAGGTGTGGTACCAGATACCGTAGGAAAGGGCTTTGAATTATCTTTCCAACGCCACCAAGTTTGATCAGTTTTGAGTTTGGATGAGTGAGATATGGCCCTTTGAAGTTAGGCTGTCTAGTTAAGGAACTAAACCGGAAATAGTAAGGGGTACTTTGGTCTTTCCTTACCCAATCAGATTTAATTTGTTTTTAGTAATATTTTAAGGGTCTAATCCTATTAGGTTCAATTTTATAATCTTAAAATACGCCTAGGGTTTTAGTTGAGAGTTCAAGAAGAAGAGAAAAGAGGAGAAAAGAGAAAGGATGAAAGCGTTCGTCGAGATTCTTGCATCTTGTTGCGGATTTTTGCCATGGGTTTAATCCCTAAGAGGTATGTAAGCTTCCATAGTGTTGGGTTCTTTCACCCACACGCCAATCATGATTTATTCAGCGTAATTTCGTTCTTGAAATTTAAAGATTAGAGTTCTTGATGAGTTCTTGATAAGTGTTCTTGAAGTTTCATTAAGTTTTAATGTAAGATTCTGTTTGGGTCAACTTTAAACGACCATATCTCTTAGAATATTAAGAGTTACGTGAGCCATAACCTATCCAATTAAAGGTAATTGAATCTACTATCCAACCCCACCAGTTTCACGTCAATCCAATATCTGAGTAAAATGTTATGACTATTTTAGTAACCTATACAGTGCTGTTACGAATTAGCCGACGGGAAAATATTGAAAATAATCGTTTTTGTCTTTTTACCTCCAAGAAAACCATCAAAGAATTTCTTGACTAATTAAAAAGCTCAAAACAATCAGATTTTCATCTTCACTAATGAAAATCATAATTCTTGGCCATAGAGATTTCAAGAAAACTAATTCACGAATCTCAAGAAAGGTTTTCTTGATTGTTTACCTTCAAGCTAGGGTTTCAAGGCTTCTAATCAAGTTCTTCTTCAAGATTCTTCAAGAATCTTGTTCTTCTAGGTATGTAAGGCTATCATAGTGTTGGACTAGTTCGTCCTCACGCCCTACATCTACTTTCATATCAGAAAAAAAGTAATCTAGGATACTTTCCCTAGATTTGAGTATTCTTGAGATAAGTTGATTTTGAGTTCTTGAATTCACGTTTCTTTTAAAAGTTATATTCCTAATTATCGAATAGCTATATTGTTATTGAGATCCTTCATATCATGAATCATAACTCTTGAATTCATAATTCAAATTCAAGAGAGAGTTAAGAGTAGAGTTCAAGAAAGCCTTTGAGTTCAATTGTGAATCCTTTGAGATCAACTATCGATTTGAACTAAGTTTTGAGGAAGTAAGTCAGAGAATGAGAAGAGTCACATACATGAGTTTTATATTGTTATTTAGACCATCGAGTGGAATTTGTTTCATGCCCATAATTCCGCATGAACTTCGTATGTTGAGCATCTTTCAGAGAAGTGGTATCTTCAAGTTTTAAGCCTTTAAGTGTTGAGTTCTTAATACCTTTTTAGAAGTATCTTTGAGTCCTTGAGTTGAATATTTCATGCCCATAATCCCGCATGAACACTATAAGTCGAACAATCTTGAGATGAGAAGTATCTTTGAATCCTTCAGCTAAGTAGTTCATGCTTATAATTCTGCATGAACCCTCTGAGTTGAGCATTCTTTAAATGAGTAGTATCATTGAAGTTCTTGAGTTCCAAGTATTTGAGTTCTATCTATGGTTATTGAAAACCTTGCATTGAGCAGTTCATGTCCATAATTCGGTATGAACCATATTTTAAGAAGTCTTTTACAAACGTTTTAACTTTGTTTTAAAACTTAAGTTTTGAGTTCAGTAAAGAGTAAAGAGTAAAGTTTGAAGTCTTTTTCTTCAAAAGTATATGAGGACTAAGTATTCCCAAAGAGTTTATAAATGTTTTCACATTTAAATAAGAACGGAAACTGAGATTTCCAAAGGGCCTTCAGGCTAGTTTTCATAAAAGAGTAATAGCTTTCTAAATGAAGCAAGTAGGGAAACTGAGATTTCCAAGATAGCCTTTGAGCAATTATCTCAAAGCAGCAGAAAGAAGTATGTTTTTAAAACATATGAGCTAGTATATTTTTGGGAGTAGTATTGAGCACCGATATGGGGGAGAGTTCACACAACTCACAGCCCTAATAAACCATGTAGCCATCATGGGTAGAAAAGGGTCATACTTTTTAGATGAACCCTTTTCACATAGACTAGTGGATCCATTAGTAGTTCAGGTCCTATACCTTTGGCCGGCTATAGGATGCGCTGGCAGCGTGAGGTAGATCGTTGTATCATCACTATAGCTCTTATGTGATGGTTGTCGGTTAGAGAAACTCCCACATAAGTTATTGTATTTTTATATACATCAGTTTATTGTATTTTTATATACATTTCAGAGTTATGTTGTATCCTTGCATACACACAAATTTGACAGCATGTTTTAAACAATTTGTTTCTTTATATTGCACTTGTTTTAAATTGTTTTATATTGAAATGAGTTCAGTCATATTTAGTTGAGTATTCAAAGTTGAGTATCCAGAGTCGAATATCATATCTTTGAGTCGAATATCATATCCTTGAGTTGAGTATCTAATCTCGGAGTTGAGTATCTTATCCTTGAGTACTTCTGAGTTGAGTAAGTTTGAGTAGTTTTAAGTACCCTTGAGTATTCCTTGAGTTGAGTAAGTTTGAGAAGAGGTAAGTATGTTTCATTTCTATCAAGTTTCAAGCTTATGTTTATGTTTTAGAATTCCTCTTACATGCTCGTACATTCCACGTACTGAGCCATTTGGCCTGCATCTTCTCATGATGCAGACACAGGTATTCAGGATCATCAACAAGAGCTTCGTTGATACATCCGAGAGTTCGAGTTAGCTATGGTGAGCCTCATTGCTTCCGGAGGATTCCATTTACTTTCAGTTGTTAGGAGGTCGTGGGTATTGTCCAGACTTCCATCATTGTCATTTAGAGGCTTCATAGATAGACAGTAGAGTTTTAGAAGTCTTTATTTATTTTGTTAAATGTTTTAAAGACTAAAGTTGCCTTTTTATGGCGAGTTGTATATATTTTATTATACATAGTTTTCTTTGGGCTTAAAGTTTGTATTTAAGTCTTATGAACTTTTATTTCAGTTTTTAAGTTTTGTATGCTTGAATCAGTTTTCCGCTTGTAGTCAGTCAGGATGAGGGTTCGCTTGGGGACCAGCAATGGTCTTCGAGTGTTGGCCACGTCTAGGGTGTAGGCTCGGGTCGTGACAGTAAGAATGCATTATTGACATCTAGTTGATACAAATTCCAACCTTTCTTAACAGCCAAAGAAATCAATGTTCTAACAGTAGTCATTTTTACCACATATGAAAAAGTTTCAGTGTAATCTACCCCAACTTGTTGTGTATAACTTTTGACTACCAACCTGGCCTTGAACCTCTCTACACTTCCATCAGCCTTACGCTTTATTTTTCACACCCACTTGCATCTAATATCTTTCTTCCCATCAGGTAACCTAACCATCTCCCAAGTATTATTAGCATACAAGGCTTCAAACTCATGTGTCATGGCTTGCTGCCAGGCAGGGTGCAGTATTGCCTCTTCAAAAGAATTAGGCTCACATTCATGTGAAATGATTGTGACTAACTGTTGACTATCAGAACAAAGACTAGTGAAACATACATGGTTATGGTGAGACATAAAAGAAGTAAGGGAGTGTAACTTAGGTAGGGTGTAGTTGTACTCCTTTAGGTAACTAGGAGTGTGTATGGTCCTGGTTGTTCTTCTAGGTCCTAGTGGTATAGGTGTTGATAAAGTATCATTCATCATAGAGGCATTTGGATCAGGCAAAATACTTTGTGTTGCAGGTTCATGTAGATCAACATGTGGTGTTTTATATATATTGGTACTATTGATTACTTGATTATCAATAACTTCATAGTGTAAATTGTCCAGCCTTTCATCATTAGCAAAGGTGTTTATTTTACCAGGCATACAAGCATGTTAGTGGTATGAATAATCATTTGTAAAATATAATTGAAACAAGAACCATCAGGGACAATAACAAAAGGAAAAATCTTTTCATGGAAGGTGACATCTCTAGATATGTGAACTTTCTTGGTATTATTTACGTACTGCAAGCTATCGCGCAATTTTGGGGACAAGGAATTTAAGATCCAAGATGTGACCATGTCATCACATTTCTCCCATTGCATGAAATTAGGGTCAGTAGGAGCAGGTCTCACAATTGTTCCGTTAATAAATCATGTCATGCTCTTAACTGAGAGAACTCTGAGAACAACCCTTCACCAAGATCTATTACCAGTACCTGCACTCTTTGAGGGATGTAGGTAAAAAGGACTAGCAAAGTCCAATCGAACTGTAGTCGAACTAGAAGCGGAATCAGTTTGAAGATCAGTTTGGGTATCAACCATGGTGTTCGAGTATTTGTGAGGAAATTCAACACGAAAACAACCAGAAAAGCTAATCCCCAAACACGAAATCAAAAAGTTGATAGAAACAGAGAATTCACTACACAATTCCTCAGTCAGGAAATCAAAATTGACAGAAACAGAGAATTCACAACACAAACCCTCAAACAGCTAATCGAAAGCAACACAAAAGAGTTTCTGCAAATGTAGAGGAGAAACTTACAAAACGGTTTTGAAAAGAAGAACTATGATCAATCAACCGCGCTCTGATACCATGATAAAACTAACACCATTGATTAACTTCATTCCTCTGTTAATGGAGATCAACTCGACTAGAGAGTAACTGAATTGAGAGAAAAAACTTGTGTTTGTATTGAATGTGAATTCGAGAGTAAACATTACAATGTGACTCTATATATACAATCACTAACTGAATACAACTGGAAATTAGCTAACTAACAACTTGACACTAGCTAACTTTACTGTGCATAACTAACTTTACTGTACACAACTAACTAATGGACTCTATACTTTATATTCTCATCAGTTGCAATCACTGATTCACTTGGAAGCCATTTGTTTTTTTCTAGAGCAGCAGATGGAATCATATATATACTAATGAAACAAAATCATGATCAATCATTCACACCAAATTAATTACTCATTCATGCATCTATATTATCAAATATTGTTAAGTTATCATGTCAAATATTGTTTTCTACAGCTATCCATATATCTGTTTATCTCAAAACAAAATTTGCTACAACTACTTAGTAAGTGTTCTTCCATGGGCACAACACACTATGATAAAAGGTACTAAAATTTATTGTCTTCCTCCATGGGCATCTCAAAGCGACAAATAGGGCAATAATGGCTCGTCTCTAACCACTTGGTGATACACTCTCCATGAAACATATGAGAACAAGGCATGCTAACTATATCATCATGATCTCCTTCCTTCTTCACAAGCTCTTCTAGACACACCATACATTCGTCGCCTTTGGTATTTTCTTCATCAATCTCCATCTTCTTTAATAACGATTGCATAGATGACTCACTAGCTGGCACCATACCATATTCTGATGATAAATCTTCTCCCGGAAACGAAATCCTTTCCTCAATAACATCACGGGATATCAATTTTACATCCACAGATAACTCCAACACTCCGCGATGACCCTTGTTAGACTCAGCAATATTACGCACCTGACTCATTATATTTCCCACTAGAGAGTCACGCATATCTTGAAACTCTAATTTCCAATTCCCAAATAGTTGTGAAATTGCAAAGTGAAAATTGTCGTAGGACAAGATAACTGAAGAGGTGAGAAAGACATGTTTCAATATTGTTTCCTCTCTTACTCCTGTACGGTAAAGTTGTGGTTCTTGTTCTAAATTATTTGAATACCAAATATCGTGTCGAATGCGCAAAGAAGAGCTAATGTTTAAAAGGGGTAAATTAGAAGAAGATGGATCATGAGAAGATTGTTTTTCAGAAAGTTGGTTAGCATCGCAACAATAACCAAACAAGTAACTACGATGACTCATATTAAAAGATTATTATGAACACTCTATGAGAACACTTTGTGCACACTTGTATTCTTTGAAATTATGTTGGGTGCTTCATTGTTAATTGATTTATAGGAATTAGGGAGTAATAAATCCTTGACCAACTATGATATGGATTGGATTAACCTAATAATTTCATATGAAATAGGCTTTCCTTATTAGTTGTAACTAGCGCTTTCCGTTTCCAAAATGGAGTATTGCAATTTTCCCATTATGGTAACATTTATTTATTAGGAAATAAATAGGTTGTATAGTCCATTTAATTTTTAAAAAATAAAAATAAAATAGGTTGTATAGTGCATATATATAGGAATAGAAAAGCATACTACATGTTGTCATGATCTTTTTGCTATACATGCACTATTAACGCTACGTTCTTTGGTTAAAGAGATCTCTTGCTTAAATGTTACTACTTTCTAGTGTCTTACTACGTATTATAATTAATTAACCCCTTATAATATTTGGGTTTGAAAATAATAATACTCCCTTCACCGTTTGTAAGGGATAATAAACTCCGGTTCCTTGACATTAAATCAACCGCCAATAATTGATATTTTCATTATAAATTAAACAATTGTTACTGAATAATGAAAAATCCAGCTAATAAATTTGTACTTGCTTGTAGAGCCAAGAGGGATAGTCTACTTGCTTCATTCAGCTAATAAATTCGTTACTATTACTCAAAAAATAAAAGCTCAGAAAAATAATTGATTGTTAATTCTTGACTTAATTCGTCCATCTAATAATTGAACTACTCCATTATTATTACTCTCACCCACCCCTAAACATTGATATAGGCCTCATTAGTCTCTCAAAGTATTTCAAACATATATTTAAACGCGATTAACTTTTGGTGTTGCGAAATACTTTGCTTAACTTTCTTGATCGTTTTAAGAAGGAAAAAGAAAATAAAAAGGTAAAGTTTGAAGGCAAAAATTACAAAAAGAAATATGATAGAGGAAGAAGAAAAGAAACAGGAGGAAAAGGTTAAAGGGAAAAATAAAAAAATAGGAACACATATTTTTATTGAAAAAAAATGTTGTAAAAATAACTTTTTTGCTCTTAAGTAGACAAATAGTCAAATACTTCATGTCCCACGTAGATGTATATTACACTATTTCAATTTTATAAAAATAAGTCAAAAGTTATGACTTCTAACTTACGACTCTTGACTTATAAATCAAACATGCTCTTAGTTTTTTTACTATGGATCGAGAAGTATCTACCCAATACCTAATTCTGTTCGATTCAGTTTTTTCAAATTTTGTTTCATTTAATAGATTGTTTGGATTAACTTTTGGTTTTTGATTTGTAAGTCATAAGTTAGAAATTTTAACTTATGACTTTTAACTTATTTTTACCATTTTAGCTTATAAACACTTTTTTAATTTACCCAAACACTTTCAAAGTGCTTAAAAACTATTTTGATCTAAAAGACACTTAAAATAAGTCAATCTAAACAGGTTCAATTGGACTTTTCTAACGACTTTTTGAATTTTGTTTAAAAATATGATACTTAAATTGTATAACTAGAGATCCAATAAGACCACCAACAATGATTCATACTCCAGGAAACACACCTTTCTTTCTAAAGAAATTGTAACGTAGATCATCATTCTTTATTTCTAAAGAAGCTAGTGAATGAAATTTCCTAACCTTGTGGAGAGATGTGTGATAGAGCATAGAGCACAGAACACGGATATAGGAAGAGACAGCATTGAGGGAGGTGAATGATTTGGGGGAGAGGCCTTGGGAAGTTTTTTGAAAAATCAGTCTCGTACGATATAAAGATTGATGATACGCCTTTTGTGAGAAGATCATATGTTTTTATGGGCAAACCCCCGACCAGGAGTTTATGAATTTTACATATGAAATAAGTTAAGAAGTTCTCTAAAAGAATTGATTATTTAATTAAATTTGTGAGTAATTTAATCTATTAAATAGTGTATTATACATATATACTCAAAATTTCAACCAAGGCATTCGGGTGTCGTGACAACCCCACCCTTATACATAATGGAAATAGAGAATTAGTGCCATTAGTAGAGTAATATTTATGGAGAGGAAATATTTATGACATAAATAATATTCTCCATTAAATATAATAGAAAATAAAATGCTTCTGTTTGAGATATTAGAATCATTTTTCTAACAATACATAGATTCACCCTTGCTTAGAGCATTCTTTGTCACCAAGCAAATCCTCCTGGCATAGGATATGGAAGTCTAATTTCAAGTTTTTTTTAAAAAAAATTAAAAAAAATCACTATTATTTTATGAAATTTCAACTTCAAATCATAACTTAGAATTAGGGATGGCAATGAGGCGGGGTAGATGCGGAGCAGAGTGGGTTTAAGGCTATGTGTGGCGGGGCGGGTTTAAGGTTGTGTGTGTGGGGGGGGGGGGGGTTGAAGTGGATTTTTTAAAAATTAATGTGGGGCGGGGCGGATTGCGGATATATGTGATTTTATGTGGGTTCAAACCTAATTTTAACTTTTTACATGTTATAAGAGTTATTAACATAATTTCATTAAAGCTACTAAATTATTCAAGATAATAAATGAAAATGGTTCAATAAAAAATAATACAATTTCTTACATGTTTCCCAATTGACCTCTAAAAAATAAAATTTTAAGTCACTATCCTATTAAATTAATACAACTTAATGAAAAAATGAATTTATTTTTATGAATTTTATTTTTAGTATCAAACATACCTAGAAAAAGAAAATATTAAAACAATTATGCGGGGCGGGGTGGGGCGGGTTGAAAATGAAAAGAGTTGTTATGCGGGGCAGGGCGGATTAAAAATTTTGCGGGTTAAGCTCAACCCGCACCGCCCCCGCCCTACACCGCCCCATTGCCATCCCTACTTAGAATCTCAAATTCTCCAAAAAGTAGGATGTGAAATTTTAATTTCTCCAATATATAACACAACTCTAGCTTATCAAGGAGATAATCTTAGATAGGAGATTATGGAGGATACGAATGGGTAGAAGATTAGTAGATAGTTGAGGATAGTCCCGCTTATCATTCATACTAGTAGGTCATTGTTCATTTGATTTTTATTTCAATGTGTTGTCCCTTGTAATTCATTATCGTACTATTTTGTTGTAGTTATTGTTACTTCTTTTTTTGTATTCTTGTCAGGGGCGTAGACACATGTATAATTGGACACCCTTTATCGGAAAAAAATACCGCATATACAAATAAATGATACACAAAATAATTAAATAACATATTTTGGACACCCTTGACATAATAAGTTGTTATAGCCTAGTGGTTTCAAATGTCTTGAATGTGTGTTTAGACATCTTTAATGAGTTGATGCTTGCGTGTTCAAATCTCACTTGCAATAATTTTTTCCCCTTTTTAAAAAGAGCTTTTGTTGTTTAATTTTTGGATCCTCTTCGTGAAATTCCTGGCTCCACCACCAATTCTTGTCATGTGCCTTGTGATGTTTTTTTTTTCTTGATTTCTTTAACCTTGTTATTTTTTTGAGTCGGAGTTCTATCACAAATAGTTTTTCTACCTCCCAAGATATGCATAAGGTTTACGTACACACTATCCTTCTTATACTCCACTTGTGGCCTCCAATGGGTATGTTGTTATTGATAATTATTTCAACTTTTAAAATATAAAACTTACACTTATAAGTTTATACTTTACAAAAAAAAAAAAAAAAGATCCACAATTTTAAAGTTTTCAAAAATAAAATAAAATCATGTTCGACATGGAGTGATTGTACGTACATTGTGAGAGAATTGTATCCAAGAGTAGTTTGCTACTAATATTGTTGATTCATTGGACATGTGAATTTCTATAAAATTATGTGTATTTGAAAGTTTGTAATGATGTGTAATTACAAATATTTATTTATAAAAGGAACATATATAGAGATATGTGATTTACTTATTCGACGCCTTAAGATATTCTCATATCTTGTTTATTAACGATGATTTGCTCATATGGTAAGATTGTACACCATGCTAGGAAAAATTTCATAGTTTTCACAAATTATAAAAAAAAAAAGTTATGTTCATAAGAAAATGTATTTTGCATGTCCAAATAAAACGTCAACTTCAAATCTATCTAATATCAATCACCATTTGCAAATTATTAAAAATTCTACATAATTCCACCTCCATTGAGTAAGGGAGTCATGTTCTTTATATATTTCAAAAGTCACCTAGAAATGGATGGTACATATTATATAGTGAAAGTGTCAATGATTTTGAGTAGCGATGAAAGACAAATACTTAGTGTAATAAGTTGACATGTTATATTATTAGTTAGAATAGGGTTAACATAAGAAGAGCAAATTTGAGTCACTTTTATAAGATCAAGGACATACCAATAGGTGGAGTTGTCAAAAAGGTTTAGTCCAGTCCCATCCGGTTCAAGCCTCGCGGGTTAAGAAATGTGATGGGCTAGGACAGGCAGACCCTTCATTTGGGGGGGGCTTGAAAATGTTCAACCCAACCCGACCCTAGAAGGGTCACGGGCTGGGGCGGGCTAGCCCTTCTTCTTCTTTTTTTCCAACTTAATATTTTATGACATTAAGAAAATGAGAAGATTTTCAAATCAATTATGGCAAACAATGGTGTTGTTTTAATAACACTAGCAAAGAAAATTAGTGTGATTAACATGTATCTAGGATACAATATGCGAGATACATATATCTGGTGTGATGCATTCCAAATATGCGAGTGAGATAACAGAGTGGCGAGCGACATAGGAGAGAGGCGAGGACACGAAATTTGTCTTTGTATCCTAGATACATGCAAATTCACTTGGATAGAGTATATTTAGAACAAATTATACCTAATTTTGAGTCTGTGTATCCTGAGATACATGTATCTGGATGTACCAAAATCTGGTAAGATTTGTAATATTACAACATAGCATGCATCTAAATAATTAACCCATACACTAGTAAGATTTATGTAAGTTACCCTTAAATAAATAGTTTTGACCCAT